ATATAATGTGTAACACGAGTGAAAAAGGCCTTTGCTGCACTCGAGATCATTCCGCACTCGCCTGCGGCTCGTGCGTAAACATTGCTCTCGTGTGCAGCAAAGTGCCACTTTCACCACTAGTTACACAAATAACTATTAATAATAAATTAATTTGCGACAGCTGTTCTATATAGATGAAATTACTACTTTAATATCTAACAGCTTGTACTAGTCAATGTTTATATTCAATGTTTTAAATAAGCCCAAGTATTGTACAAATTATTATTATTATTAAGATGTTTTAATTATTACCATAAGAGATGGGGACGCCACCTATGTGTGTATTTGGACACAAATGTGAGTGCAGAATGGAATGGAGTTTGATTCCTTGTGTAGCTTTGTTACTAACTAAGACTAACCGTTTGAAAGCTCAATGAACAAGGACAGCTAGGACCATCAAACGCTACACACCTTTCTCAGGATCGAACCGACGTAAAACGAAAAGAGAAGTCTAACACTTTTTAGAGTGAATATTAACAAAGACAATAGAGTAAATATTTGAACAGGATATATAATTGTTGAAGAATATAATTTCGGATGCTTTACTCCTGTGGTAAAGCTTACTTAAATTTTAAACATGAAAAGTTAATTGCTTTAAATAGAAGTTTATGGAACAAAGGAGTTAAGTATTCATTTTTAAGTAGTTTCAAACAATAGAATCAATAAACGATCTATAACTGTTATCTAAGGACACAAAGTACCGTAAGCATAAAGTAGAAAAACTAAAGTAGCACTTCCTAGTATCATTGTAGTAACGTTTTTGCTAACTTCGTTATTACAAAGAAAATAAAAGAATCTTTAATCCCACTTGGAAACTTTCTGCGAAATGAGGGTATACGAAGCAGTTATAAAACTATAATTAGCATTAAAGTACTGTTGGTTTATGTATATTGTTTATATTGTTTATAAGAGTTAATTATAAATACATTTGTTGATAGAGCTCTTAATAATTGCTAAAACCATGTACTACTAAAACGATTGCACTTAAATACTAAAAAAAATTGCAAAGTGGTTAATATAGTAAAACCTTGCGAAACCCTAAAATACAAATGTTTAAACGCATTAATGGAAGTTTTTATCATCATTATAAAGCTTTAACTAAAACCTGTAAAAAAAATTAGTTTTACTTCTCACCTTTGATGAAATAGTTTTATTTTTCGTCATTCCGATCAGTTAACCATTTTATTGATGATAGAAGTCCTATGTTTTATTTATTTTTTATTTAGATGTTTAAAAGTGACTTTCCAATGTTTAAAAATTACCGTGACGTCTTGGCGTTTGTCTTAAAATTTACAATCGAAGAGAACCACCTTCGTTTTTAGTTCGTTTTAAGGAGGTCACGATGATAAGAGACACGCAAGCCTAATCGTTCAACACTGAGATTATACAGGTACAATGTATTAAGAAGGCAGCTCTTAAAGCTATTTCCGGGAACAGAATCTTACTATTTTAGATATATGCGGTAATCTGAAGACGTTATTTTTGTATAACCTTTATTGCATTCTAAAAAAACTATTAACGTAATGAACTATTATTTAAAGTTATAGTTTTTAACTCTTATTTAATTCAGTCTCGACAGACAACAATTTAATTGACAATGAAATTGACTCAGAAATATATTAATTTTGCAAATGTTAAATATTGCAATTTAATATTTTACTTGAACGGTTAGGCCAAAAAGGGGAAAAGAAGGGAGAATCATAAAATAATAATTTTTAACAATTGTGATAATCTCATATAGTAGGAAATGATCCATTTCAAGGATTTAATATAACGCATTAAAAACAGTAAAATAAGAAATTAACCAAGCTGTAATTTGTTTCATTGCTGCAATTGTATATTACCATTTGGTAATTATATTGAAATTACCATTACAGTAAATATGCTTAATGAGTATATTTATATACAATTTCCTCTTTACGCGCAACGTACATTATACCTAATTTGTAAGTCATTATATTTTAATTACCCACTTAAATTGAAATCGTTAACAAATATAGGATTATTGCACGAATACTAGAAAAATACCGGTATGGATCATAAACATAAACAAACTACGTTGTTGGCCCGAATCCTATACTAATAGCATTGATGATTGAACGTATGTTTTGGCAGTTCCATTTAAGTAATGTTAAATCATGTTTATTTTCGGGCCAAAAATGTCATTTGTTTATGTTTATGATCCATACCGATATTTTTCTAGTATTCGTGGCTAATTGGACGCAAAATTTATTACGTAGTTTTTAAATGAAGTGATTAAGTGAAACATATGGTGAAGACAAACAGTCTACTGCATGCACCAATGAATATTGTTGACGCCTTCAACTGTGTCTATACAACGACTGGTCTCGACATGTTCCGTGTGTTATCGACTGTACAATGAAGGAACTGACAGGCTGCCACTGTCATGATTAATTATGGTTTTAATTATGTCATTAGCTATATTGTGTTGAATAATATAGTTTAATAATTTAGACTCCAACAATATTCCATTCACTCGGAGAATTATTTTTTAAGGTTAGGAATATGTTATCGACTCCATTTCAATAGAAGAATGAAATTGTACGATAATATCTATTGAAATACCATATTTAAAGATCTTTGTAATTATATCAAGCAGGCTTATCAAAGTATTGGTTTTCCCCAAAACCAATCCCATTTACATTGATAGACAGTAACTGTTAAAGACAAAAGGAGCGAATGAGTTGCAGCTTGCTACCCTTAACTAATTACCAAATTAGTTTATATGCATTGTTGTCCACATGATTTAGTGTTATCGGTCATTCGTTTTGAATAAGGCCCCTATTAGCCGTGAGCAACATGTGGCGCAGCTAGTGGAGCCACCGGTGTCGGACGTGTAGAGGGGCATGGAGTCAAATGGTGCCTATTAGCCGCGGGGAGACCGGTGGCGCCGCCGAAAAAGCTGCCCGAGGTGTTGCCGGGAGTGATTTTGCCCGGCAACATGTGTCGCGACCGTTTTAGTGTCCAGGCAGTCGGGGGGCATTGCAGTATATGGAGCCTATTAGCCGTAGGCAACATGCGACGCCACTGACTGCGCTCGCATGCGTTAAAAACGTAAAAACGGAGCATGCCACACAGTCTACATCGTGGTTTGAGTCGATTGAGGCGTGCATCGCCATATTGTTGGTCTATTGATTAGTTACTTCTGTTCACGTTGTTTACCAGTGTGACCTTTTTAACAGTGTATTCTTTCCTTTTTGTGTCATTCATTAGCGTTTTTAGTTGTCTTTAGTTTTGAAAAAACAATGTCTAGTGCCAATAGTGACGTGGTAATTGTGGATGCAGTAGAAGAAATCGCTCTTCTTTTTTAACAGGAGAACAAGAAGAAGGAGCTCCGAACTGCTCAAAGTCATGTTTGACACTAGAGTGTTGGTGTGAATTCCGCGGTTTGAGCGAGCTACAAATGTGTCGCGCGACTAGTGTCCAGGTTCCAAAACGCTGTGGGCCACCAGCGGCTCCACCGGCGGCTCCACTAGCTGCGCCACATGTTGCTCACGGCTAATAGGGGCCTAAGATCCAACATATGTTTTCCTCTATAACGCAACCCATGTTTAAGACCGATAATGAACATAGTTAAATAGAAAACAAGTATTGCATTACTGATTATTAAGGGTTATAAAATTAAATTTGTAGTATTACGTACTAGAATCTTACCTAAGAACCTTGTGGCAAATCTTACTTTGTATGAAATGAATAACCTATGTTAATGCATTCTTCTACAAATTATTACAGCTTTTGAAAAAAACCATGTTGAGTCTTAGTCAAAATGAATTTTCAGTAACATAGAAACATGGAGTCAACAATGTTAAAATGAAAATCAGCTGATCGGATGCAGGTCTACCAACTAAAGGCCTATGCTTATTTTCACCCTAAACAGTAAACATCAAATCATCCTGTAGCCTACTTTTTTTTCGGGTTGTGTTTAGAAAACACAGTTTGTATTTTATTGGATTATAGCAAACTCCTATCTATGATAAAAGTAAAATATACAGAAGCTATATCTATCATAAAATAATGCTGATCATTCCATACAATCGTTTAAATTTACTTCAATTCTATAAACGTTTTAACTTTGTTACGGTTGTATTTTGTTTAAGCTAAAAATTGCACGTACCTAAAAGATATTTTACAACAACATTTAGAAGACGAAACAAATTTTAGCACTAGTGGTAGTAATTAGTCTATAATTGTCCGTAATATGCAATTTGGATTTTAATAGAGTCTTGTAAAATTTGAATTAATACGCCGAGGTTTAATCTTAAAAATAGAGATGTTGAATAATTCAACCATAGAAATCGCAGGCACCAAATTTCTCATGTCAGTGAAAACGTATAGTCATTAAGTATGTCAATATTTTATTAAAATGTATCTTACAAAATTAGTCCAATGGAAGAAATTTGAAAAATCGAGTATTACATAGAAATGTAATCCTAGTACTCGTTCTAAAAATTATTAAATTGTATTATAATACTTATCTGACTTAATTACTCGTGTTTAATTATTAAATATAACGAATAAATAGAATAATTGTATTTTAATGTTTTAATTCTATATCCTTATGGACATAGTTCTGAGTAAAATATAAGAATACCACAATATTTCTAACCTGGAGTATTAAACAATGTAGATGGTTGTAGGTCGAGCTAGTATTGGAAATTTAATATGGGTGTGGGTTGTTGGATGTTGCCTTTTTTATTGTTAGAAAGAAACGTGCGATAAAATCCGGTTTAATGATTCAAGTAATGTGTCTGAGGCTGAATTCATTGTGTTTGAAAGTTAGTCAGCTAGTGCGTCATTTAGTTGAGGTCTAAAACCAGCATGAAGAGAATTTCTCGAACGAGATGGTTAGCCTAGAAACTATTAATCGAATGTCACCTTAAAATTGACTGAAATGTATTATACAAAGAGACACAGGACTGAAAAGAGACACAGTTTTTAAAATAAGTATAATTTCTATACTTACAAAAATAAATAATAAAAACGTATAAAAGTAAAAAAAAAAATCAAATTGGTTAAAAGTCCTTCGTTTCCAACTCACAAAGACACGTTACTTATCGCACTCAAGGCGAATTTCAAATCTGATCTCTACTTCGTACTTGGAACTGATGAAGTTGGGGAAGATGGAGTTAGGAGTAACGAGGAACTGCTTGGCGAGGGTGGAGCATAGTGCTTGCTCCACAGGCTCCACGGAGTCTAAAGTCTGGGAGTAGCAGAAGCTGAAGTGATCCTTGACCACAGTGACGTCACATAGGACTCTGGACACCCTGGACTCCCGCTGTAGCCACTGGACGATCACGGGGATCTGCTTCTTGTAGAAGTTGTTGGTGATGTGCACCCAGAAGAGGCAGTCCTCTACAGCTACCAAAGAGGCTGAGTACTCTTCATCAGAGACGATAAAGTCAGGAGCTCTCACAACAGCTGGGGAAGTAAGGAAAGACTTGGGGTGTGTTGAGGCCACGTGGTCTAGCAGTCCAGTAATTTCATCTTGCCATGAACATCCTCGCACTTTACACTTTTCCATCCTGAACCGACACTCCCTCTCGTGGTCGATGAGCGACTCTCTGTCCAACACTAGGGTGCATCCTCTGTAGGAGTTACGACACTGAGAGGGTAGAAGGTCCATGAGGGCGTTGAGGAACACAGGGTTGATTCGGGAGAAGGGTGCCCTGCAAGTAGGGCAGTGTTGCTGCGTCTGCTTGCACTGGCGACATATGGCGTGACCGTTGTTACATAGGGTTGTAGGGCTGCGTACTCTCTCTAGACACACGGGACACTTGGCTGTACTGTCGATGGTGGCTAACATCTTCTGGTAATCCTCCATCGTCAGCGAGGTCCTGTAACACAAACATGAATGGGAATTAATTTACTGTTACTACACTTACTGTTGTTGTTGTTTGAAGAATAGAGGGTCTTCTGGCAATCCTCCATCGTCAGAGAGGTCTTGTAACACATGCATTAATTGAAATCAATTTGCTGTTACTACAATGTATTAATAGCAAATCAATGTCATGTGATGTTTGTTGTTTAGACAATCGACGATCTTCTGGCAATCCTCCACCGTCACTGAGGTTTTAAAAACATTCACATAAACACATAGTTGCCGTTACTGCGTAAACCGCTATTTATAGTTGTTACGGATGTTTTCTGGTAATCTTCCACCATTAGCAACTACTTGAAACTAATTATTTGTAAAAATTATTGGTTGCTAATGCATATAATGCTACTATTACAGAGGGTCCCTTTTACAGAGGGGTTATGAATAATATTCCTTCTCACAACTGTTTTCTAAGTATACACAGAATACGTTCTAAGTATTAACCAAATTGGTCCTTTACATAATAATATGTTATTTTGTAAGTCTAATTGAATTTAAATAGCCTAGTTACGTATAATACTATTTTTAGTGGTTTGTAGTTCTCTTGAATTCGTCCTCAAATAGTTTTGGCTGCAACCCACAAGATTGGAAAATGTGTAGAGACATAAAACAGCTTACAAACAAAACATTTGTGTGATATCTCTGACTCGTCCTTATGTTGAATGACCCATTTTGGTTTCTGCCAAGACTTAATTAATCAACGTAATAACGTACACGAACCCAATCAAATGAAAATTATAAAGTTCCAGCGACATTTTGATATCATCAAAAAGTTAGGTACTGTGATAAGAGGCAAACGTACAACATTCAACATTTAAGAAGCTGTTAGAAGCATTAAAGATCAGCACTGCTGACCTTCGTTTAGCTCGTTGCTGGCCTGTGGCTGATTTCTTCTCCTCAATCTGGTCGTCGTTGTAGCGTGAACTGTGTACTCTTTTGAGTTTTGCTAGTGTGTCAATATTTTGACAAAATCGAAAGAAAGATAAATTGTACACCTTGGTGGATACGATTATGACTTAAGAGTCGGCAGGACCACGGGCCATTTTGGATTTTCTGCCCATTAATGGTTGAAACATATTACGGCATTGTTTAGGTAAAAAGGCGAAAAATATCTCACTTTAAAGCTATAATTGAAACCGCGGTCGTGATTTTCTATCCACTAAAACTAAATCTAATAAAACTATATTGCTAATGCTATCTAATAAAACTAAAATGCACCACTTAATTTCATTCAATCTTTATAGCGACTTAGCAGACGCACAGGCACAGCCTATGTCTGTTAATTCCAGGACTAAATTGATAGGAACAACCTTTGACACATGTATATAGTTAATTAGTTATAGATAAAACTTTTTGATCAGCATTGTACGTGTTATTAATATTACGAAAAGTAAATAAAAGAAACGTCTTATAACACTTAAATCATATATTTACGCTTATACTGTTACTCACAAGACAGTAAATATACAAAAAAGATGGTATTACCGTAATATACAAGCGTAAATATATGTTTTAAGTGTTATAAGACGTTTCTTTTATTTACTTTCCGTAAATTAGTTATAGTTAATTAGTTTAATTTTGCATACAACCCTTTTTCTTTTTTTGTATATTTGGTTGTGTAATTTTATATATGTGGTGGAATAAATTCATTCATTCATACTTTTTAATTTTAATTATTTTGTCAAACTACATAAACATATTGACTTAAACTGTAATTATTTTCAACCTCTAAAACACAAGTTTTAAAAATCCGAAAAATAATTCACCCGGAAAATAAATTTAAGAATCATATAAAATGTTTTGTTCTTCAATTAAGCTTACTCTGCATGATTGACATGCTTCATTGTGAACGCATGTTTTTGCTGATCTGCGCTAGGACGTTTTGCCTGGCATCTGACAGTCAAAAACAATGCAAAATTATTGACTCCTGCCGACTTTTAAGAAAACCCGAAACCTACTTTATTCGAATAGTTTTAATTTTAGAATTCTTTAACTGAAATATGTGTTATCATCATGCAGCCACCCACGCATGACCACGTATGTTATACATGTGTTGTAGTGTCCTGCAAGGAGTGGGCGAGGAGATATTTACAGCGATGATGCAGCAGGAAGGCATGAGCTTGGGTTGAATAAGAATGATAAACAAAGCCGTGGGACGACCACTGCGTCTATTGGTTGCCCGCGACCTTGGCCGCTGGATCGGTTACGTTACCTGAGGCGGTTGGGTTACGTTTAATTTCATATCCGGTTTCTAAGATTTCCGTCGTCTTAACCTTGCCGTTTCAGACCTACTTCCTCATCTAGCATACTTTGTTTGATTACATGTTTTGACGCTTTTGGAATGTTTATGATTTGTAGAGAAATAGTTTAAAACCGTGGTGTTACTATCTACCATTGTTCTTTTCGTCAGATACCATCATTAATAAATACGAAAATAAATAAAAATACATCTAATCACACATGAACAATATATTTACACCTATACTAAATTAACAAGACAGTTAATATACACATGGAAGAAGGTAGTGTTGATCGATTACAGTCCTTTATACAACCAATTAAATATCCCATTCATGATTAACCTCTAAAATATAAAATTGGTAAAGCTTCTAGTAGATTTTTTACTTTAAGTTTAATTGAATTTTATACATCTAAGAAATATTTTAGGGGGAAATACTTAATTGTTTAATTAGTGATTAAAATAAGATTGTAACTGAACACTCGACTCTTAATTTTTAAAATCTGTTTTCTTCTTTTAAACATTAAATAACCATAACATTATTAAATAATAGCTGGGCAAAAATACACACCAAAAATGTTTATTTATAATTAGAATAGTATATTTATTTGGCATTTGGAACTGGCAATCCAACTCCACTGAAGATCAAACCAGAAACTTTCAGATTCAAGGGTAAGTAGGGCCTATTGTAACCTATTGCTAACACCACTCATCCTACACTCACCACGTATGGTCGCCGTTTTATAAGAAAGTATTTAAGTATTCTTGTCGCAAACTATACATAGCGGTGCATTCATATTACTTTATCGTAATATAGTATGAAGGAAATATTTACAGTAGATAATGAAATTTTGCGAATTGTTTCAGGAAAATACGTTATCATGAATACCTCCTCAGTGTTTATTGGTATATTAGTTACAAATACAAACACGTGTTAACTTATACTGTTTTAAATTAATTTTACTCCTTAATGAGGTATAATTAATCATTTAGTGTTTAGTGCCCCTACTAAATAATCACGATTTTTTTATGGATAGCCAATATTAACGTCAACGAAGGAAGATCATAGTTGAATTCCAGAGGAAATTAGCCCTTAGCAGATCATGATTGCAGTTAATTAGCTAAGATTATTTACGCTAATTTATCGTTATTTACAATTTATAAAATCTCGGGCGTACCTAGTCAGAAACAAAGCTACATGCAACATAAAATTTTTTACATTCATCCTCCACTCATATTTTGGTTAAAATACGCACCTAGGTGGCGTCCTCATCTCGATTGGTAATAATAATAATAATAATAATAATAATTCAATTAAATTCAATTCAATTTAATTTGTTTATTTCTCGCATGCGAAAATTTGTTGTACACTGCAACGCCTTGTATACCTCTCTAGCTGCAAGCTATTTGAGAGGAAAACTTATATCTATTGCCTTATTATACTATCTTTTACAGGTACATCGTATAAATCCATTTATTTTATTTTCGAATTAAATAATCTTTAATAAACAACCATAATTTGAACAAAAACATTTTTTTTTCTTTTTTTCTTTTTATGTTTTTTTTTATTATTATATTTGACTATGAGTTTGTGTGTTTATTATATATGCGTGTGTGTGTGCATCATAGTAGTATTATGGAAATAGTTAATCCTGGGCCGGGCTGGTAGCCCCGTGTTAAAACTCGGAGTCGTCAATGCCTCTGTCACCCAGTTTCACCATTCCATATCATGTATAAGTTTACATATACATGAGACAACCAAACACAATAATACTCATACTCATAAAATACTCATAAAACAACGAGTGATTAGCATTTTACAATACCAAAAGACTTTATGAATAAAAACTAACAATATTTCCCCTATCCTGTCTCCTCACTTTGGGAAAAAAAGCAATACCAATAATCCATTCCAGTCCAGATCAAAATAGATGGAAGTAAAAAGTGAGGTTATGTAGCTCAAATCTTCATTCCTCAACTCATGCTTGGTTAATGACTACATTATACATGAAAATGTTGATAAAATTAAAATAAATAAATACCAAGTCCTATAATATTAGCCTATAGTCCCCCCAGTTTATGTTGTCGTGTTCCCTTATGTGATACTAACATTTTTTAACATAATAATAATAATAATAATAATATTTATCAAACCCTTTATCTTAGATTATCAGATACAAAATTTTAACATGATAGAAAATACAAATTTAAGTAATGTTTTATGTATACAAAGATTTTGGAAATCATTACAATGGAACTAACTTCCAAAGTTTATAGCAGTGACTTTGCAAATCGTTAACATCGTCTATTGTGTCCCTACAACAAATTATAGTGGTACACGATAAACTGAAATGTTTTCAACATTTGGGAAATCAGTAACTCAAAGTTATTTGGTAGTTTCAATTTGTTTAGTTGCACGAAATCAGGCATTCAACACCGAAACACTAAATAATATTTAGAGATAACATTGCAGCCAAAGTACTGTTTCTATAAAAAGCTTTACATTCCTGAGCCGTGATTGATTCACACTTGGCGAGACTCAACGCCTGAGGAAGATATCCTCCCACGGTCATGGTCGTCGGTCGTTTACCTCTGCCTGGAGATAATGTGAGGACAATGAACACAAGAAGTGCACTGAAACATCGCACTATCACCTCTTCAGATGTACCTCTTCAGGAGCCCTATCTAGTAGGCATGCGCGTTGTTTAAAAAAATGCATAAATAAAAATATTGTGAAGTGTTGCGAACTTTATTATCATTATCATTTGAGGTGAGGACGCCACTTATGTGCGGATTCTAACCCAAATATGAGTGAATGGTGAGTTGTGTATCGTGTGATTTCTGGTGTAGCTTTTTTACTGGCTAAGATCACCTGTTCCATTAGTCAGGACCATTAAGAGCCCAATCGAGGACAGCTGGGTAAGGTTTCGAACTATCAAAAAGCTATACTATTTTCAAAGTATCAAATGGGTGACCTTTCGATTACTTGACGAGCTCTATAATCTCTGAGCTACCCGGCTGTTTAGGACCAAATGATTCGTTTGTAAAGTTTACCTATAGCATTTGGATTCCTTCGTTCGTTTTAGGACTACCTCATTGGTTAAATAATTACAGTCAGCCACTAAAAGTGTTATTAAAAGTTGTAGAAACCATGTTATTACCTATTGAAATGTTCTGATATAATAAAAAAATATGAAAATATTTTAATTTTTTAATAAATGGTATTAAAATAAGATTTATGTTTGAAACATAAAACGCATAAAAGTAAAACGAATCTATTTATATTGATATTGATGAACAACTATAAGGCAAAACACTGGAAAAATGATTTAGTTTTGAAATTAAAAACTGCTTCTTTTACTTATAGGTTACCTAAATTTCCTTTGATGTTTTTGTAGTTTTAAATTGATTATTTATCCCAGGCGAAAACAATTAACATTTGAGGCAAACAGTTTTTTTTTTCTCACAGAAGAATCACATTAAATGAAAAGCTTGTTGTTTTATAATGCCAACCCAAACCTCGATGCCCAAGACACGGGCTATATGGCCTTCAGCATAAAGCGTTAGAATTTACGGGCACTCTCTGTGTTACCTGGGCCTGTAAAATAAACAGTCACATGAAATAACTCGTCCTCACTTTATTATTTGAAATGAATGTATACAATTAAGAGTTCACCGTTCATTTTTATCAGAGTGCAAGATGCTAAATTTAACTAGTAGTTATCATCTAACAAGGACAAGAGCAGAGTACTTTTGATGATGATGTATTTAACAATCTTGTAGAAGATATGACAATCTAATCTATTTAATTTTGATTCATTAGTGAACCGATAACGATCCGAGCTCAAATTGAATAGGCCTATGTGGATTAGACTGCAAGGAAAATTCAATTCACACTAACAATAAAGTTCTATCAGTGACTATTACAGAAAATCTTCTAATGTGATTGTTTCGGAATAGTGATATATGTGATAAATTATAGGGACAATTCACAACTCTCTTAGGCTACACTGATGTTTTCTAACTGGAAAATAACTATTTTACAACTTAATGAGTAGAAACCCATCAATATGACAATAGTGTTATCTTTACATTTGCGTGGACGTAGAAGAAACACACATACCAAACAATGCAAGCATATACTTACTTCGAAAACTATACACAGCTACAAAACAAAGAAACAACTAATTTTCAACTTGACATTCATAGGTTTTTGTCAAAATCAAACAAATATTGTACCTAATATTATTGACAAAGAGTAATTTAACAGTAAACATTGACTTAGCCTAAACATTATTGCCAAAAGACAAATTTGAATATCTACATTATACAGGTTTAACGCACCTTGTCTTCAGTATTATAGAATATCTAGGTATCACTCACAATCCACTAGATAATCTGAAACTAGAGACGACCAGATAGGCCCTCATATATTCCCATAAACTTTGAAACACACCATACGCGTAGACACACAATAACAACATAAGCTAATCATACAGCTATGCAATATTATACTTACAAACACACATGTAACAAATACTTTAAACACACAAACTGTTAACCTATTGGTGATACGAGGAGCAATAAATTGACTGTTGAAGTTTGATAAGATAAAGAGTGCATGGGTTACCTCGTGTTTGTCTCGTCCATAGCAGCAGCGGTGGCCCCACTCTCCAACACACAGACACACAGACTGAGTAGAAGATGGCCCTCTAGCAGCTGCCTGTGTCATGACCCTGACAATGGGTGGGGGAGGGGGAAGTTAGGTACTTCCTAATGACGTCACTGACCCAGTAGCTAATGTCATTGGCATATGTCTGTCAATCCCCAATCATTTATTGCCACTCTTGCAAATTTCTGTGTTTACCTATGAAGTGTATTATGAAAGTTCTACTGAACATCAATGTATCAATCTTAAGACAGAAACGTACACATGGGTATTTTTAGAATATGAATGCAAGATAAGTGCAGAATGGATGCAGTCCCTTTTGTAGCTTTTTCATTTGCTTAAGTCTTTTAATAATAGTCTTAAATTAAAAGCTCAATCATCATGGTCCATGTCAACGTCGTTCCGATTTTGACATAGTAAAAAGTTCTAAACCTTAAATTTTTAACTAGAGGTTTTTATATTCAATTACATGATTTCAAAATGCATTCTAATAGCCCTTATCTATATTATTGACTTTGAATTTGTCATTGGACTTTGAGTGTCTAAAGATAAATGCCACAGGCCTACGTTAAATGGTCACGATTTCAAATTTATTTTGTTAGGTATTTAAATTTTGACTTTTATTTAGTTTGTCTTAAAATTAAGGAGTAGCCGAAACATATTAAACCTATACTTATATTTATTTAACTGTAGTTGGCCGCTTTTACTCAAGTATGAACATGTATTAAATAAACGTGACTCTAGGTTTTCTTCCACACTTTATAATTCGTCATGCGTATATATTTATTTTGATATAATTGGTAGGGAATAAAGATAATGATACTCTATTTCTATCACATAATAAAGAATTGCCTGTAATGTATTGAACTCAATAAATGCAAATATACCAAGAAGGTGTCCCTCTTTATTTTTTTTGGGGGGGGGGGGTCAGAAATTTGAGTATGCAACTCTGTTGGAAACAAAATAAAATATAAAATAATTTATCATAATAACACGACAAATCTTTTAACCTTGATAGTAGTACTAGTTTCAAACAATGTCCTGATTAATATAGTGTCAAATTAACTGGTGATTCCGTAATGAAGTGAACTATCAAGTTCAAGGTCACGTCAGTCTGGACACAATAACCCAACTAGGAAGTACCTAGTGTAGGCCTACTCCTACATTATTTAGAGGCTGCACATAGAAAACGTGATAAACTGTGGGAAGTCAAGGTAACTCCGGTTTATCGTTACAACCGATTTAGGTCTGTCTGGTGTATATCGTTTGACGACTGCAAAACGTAAATGTACTCACCTCTAGCATGTATTTTATGAATGTGTTTAGTGTGCTGCATAATTTAGTCTTATGTAGATGGAGAAACGAGCATGGTGTGGTAATTATCACCGAATTTGCATGCATTTCCATTGTTGTAAAGGTGTAAGGTACATTATGGATTCAAACGTAGACTATCAAGGTCATGCCGGACTACAAGATATAGACCTGCAGTTACTTGGATGTGCCTAGAGTCTGTTGTTTGGAAGGTGGACAGTGTAGTCAACTTTATAAGGTCAAGTGTCAAGGTCAGGCCGGACTGCAAGGTATCACCTGCTACAGTAACATGGATGAGTCTAGGGTCAGTTGTTTGGAAGGTGGACAGTGTAGTCAACTTTAGAAGGTTAAAAGTCAGGGTCAGGCCGGACTGCAAGGTATCATCTGCTACAGTAACTTGGATGTGTCTAGGGTCTGTTGTTTGGAAGGTGGACAGTGTAGTCAGCTTTAGAAGGTTAATTGTCAAGGTCATGCCGGACTGCAAAGTATCACCTGCTACGGTAACTTGGATGTGTCTAGGGTCTGTTGTTTGGAAGGTGGACAGTGTAGTCAGCTTTAGAAGGTTAAAAGTCAGGGTCAGGCCGGACTGCAAGGTATCATCTGCTACAGTAACTTGGATGTGTTTAGGGTCTGTTGTTTGGAAGGTGGACAGTGTACTCAGCTTTAGAAGGTTAAGGCCACTCTGGCCTTTATCACCAAGCTTACGTCACCCTGGTTGATTAACTAACCCAGTTTCTTCCGCTTTGTTTACAAAGGTCGCTTTGTTTCGATTAAAATGCAAAACTAATCGCTTTAGTTATAATACTGCATTGTCAGTAAATGCTGTTAAGTAAATACGTAGAGAGAAAATAGTATATTACAAAATTTTTGTTTAACTTAGATGTGAAATAACATTGCTAAAATATTGATTTGGCCTCAATCTTATTACGAGAGTTGTATACTGGATTAAGTTTTTTGTTAAAATCGGTATGGATCAAATTTTGATACTCATGTCTTACTATTAAAATAAATTCTTCATCTGGCACTGATATAGAAAAGTTAAAGGATATTAAAAGCTAAATGTGAGTATACAGTGTCCATCAAAACAAATTTATCACTATTACCCTTTGGTTTTTAATACCAATTAATGTAGGCAGAGTTTTGTGTTCATGTTATTTTGGAAGCTGCTTTAACATTTTTTAATACAACTTCAATTATATATTAACTATAAATAATAGATAATACTTCCAACAAATCACAAAACCTTGACATGTTTATGTTATTAGAAAATGAAGCTAATTATCATTGTCGATTGCATGATTTCCATTGATTTTTTCTGGAAAAGTACTCGCATAATAATTATATTGTTGATATTGTCATTAGGCTAAGCAGATCTGTATAATTGGTTAAGAATTTTAATTGTATATAAACAACGTACATTGTATTTACTTGTGAGTTATATGCTCCTATAGGAAGAGCAAGTAGAGCGCGGGACTTAATTTGCCTGAGGTCAGCGATTACATAATAAAATTTATGTGTTCACATTTTACTATGTTACGTTATGTGTTATGTTCGCTTCGTGAGGTCCCAAGTTCAAATTCCACCAACCACCAATGGATTTCATCTATGTGCAAATGCCACTAACCTCTAGGACTAGCCTGAAATGATGTGTAAAACAGTTTCGGGCTATAACTAACACTCTAGGATGTAAAGGTAGGGCAAAAATATACGTGAGGTAATCAGGCTTTTTAAATGAATTACCAAATAAAATATTATTTCATACGAAAACTTAATACAGTTCCTATCTACGTAATTATAAGAGTTATATACCATATTTAATTGAGTTCCATCCTTGATTAACGAGCAATGGAGCATTGTAATAATATTTCATGTTACTCTACATAATAGGCTCTTGTTGCAATCCAATTATTTTAAATACACATAAAAACTACTGTTAAATTAGGAAATATGTCACAGTATTTTATTAGAATTGTAGAAAACTGATTAATTTTTAACACATTCATTTTAGTTGCTACCGAATTTTAAATTTAATAAACACTGCAATTCCATACTGCGATTCATAATATTTTACTTTTGTTTTAAACTTTACATAAAACAGAAAACTAAGTTTGTAACTGGCAACATTTCTAGTTTAACAAATTCAATGTGATGTGCTGTCTTAACAATTAAAGTTAGCTGTCAACTAAAAGGAAAATCAGCGATTTTCTAAATGAGAATATTTTATTTTATTCTACTTGGTTTTTACATGTGTATGCCATTGTTCCCTTGAATGATTTAACTAAAAAATAACAAATGAATATTGTTCATACAATCTCTATTACTTGAATTTGTAAACATTTCTTTTTATGAGTTTACTTATAATTACCAATTTAAATATATATATACATAAAAATAATAGTTTAGTTACGTTACAATTAACAACAGGAAACAAATAAAAGATAAGGAATGAGATGAAAAGAATTGTTTTATCATAACATGTCGGTACACGATCACATATTACTCAATTAAATCCCTATCATAAAACTATAACAAACTATCGATGTTGTCAGTATTCAATTAGTATCGCCCCAGGTGACTGAGTCAATGATGGACGCTGGTAGTGCTGCTGTTTTATATCCTCTGAGAAATATAACATGGAGAAATTTGCTGATTTATTATTTTCTGTTTTTTTTTTGTGTTCTAAAGTAAATAAAATGAAAGTACATAAAATTTGAATTTATATGCCAAGTTTTAAAGCTTGAAATATAATCAGTAGTTGTAATTATTTATTCTGCTTTAAAACTACAATTTTGGCAATTTTATCAAAGAAAAAAATCTAAAATATGCCTGTGCTACTTAGGTATCGGTTTTGATTTAACACGAAAAGTGAAATCATACACATTTATGTGCTTGGGTATATGCAAGTGGGATAAAGCTAAGAGAAATATTTATAATTTTTAGCGAATTTCCCTATAGAAACTATAACTACTAGTAACTATAACCGTAGGTCTCATGTTAAGACTTGGGCCCGGACCGATTTACTTTTTCATTTTGATTTCCCCCAAAGACCAAAAACACTATTCGTTCAAACTTTTATATTATTTTTATATTATTTTTATATTATTTTTTTATATATATATATCTTTAAATATATATGTGTGTGTCCCTGAACATGATAACTTGAGTATTTTTGTTCGATTTTAATGAAATTGGGTTTGAAGGTGTAAGGCAGGATGAACTTGAATGAGTTTGATTTTGAGAACCAGCATGATCGGACAATGGGAACGGGGTTTTACGAGGGGTCATATGGGGTAAAAATTGGGTTTTCTCGTTTTTGACCATCAAAGAACCAAATTCCCCAATTTCTCTAGACCATTTTAAGGAACTTAAAAAGACAAATAATTTAGCATATTGAAGTTGTTTTGTGGGGTTATTGGTAAAAAAAATCAGGAAATTTAAAATATAAAATTCCCATGTTATTCTTATTGAGAATATTTTAAAATGTTGTTGTTTGCTTGTTTATGGATACATTTTGATCAAACTTGGCAAATGTATTTATTTTATATTAGGCTATTAATATTTTACTAAAAAACATACTTTGTTAGCCTCTCTGTAGCAGCAATACTAGCTACTCGTTTAACCTAATGTTATTTAAATAGATATTATTGTATATCAATGCAGACAAATGGAAATTCTCTTAGTCTGTAGGTTTGCTGTTGTGGGGATATTATGTTTTATTTGTAATAAAACGAAAATAACGTAAAAAACGACGATCGCAATGAAACCGCCAAAAACCTTTACAGGTATGGTGAATGAATATAAAACGTAGACGGAGAAAAGAGCAAGTAGGTTCAGACAGATAAGACCTTTTTCACGATAATATTATAAATGTATGCAGTAGATAAAACATGAAAGACAAAGTTGGTCTGTTATCTCATGGAAGCAGCAGTGAGATATTGTTTCTCTAAAATACCATCTCCTCTGCTATTGGAATCTTACATCAAGCGGGGGTGAGTGATGACACTGTTCATCTTATACCTACCCCTAATACGGTAAATCCATACTCATACCTAGCGTGCTATATGATGCTGTAAAATTAAAATATTTCTATTTGTAGTAGTCGAACAACTATCACAAGGAAGGCTATTTTTCAAAATATAATCATATATTATTAGGATAATATAGAGGTTTCCTTAATAAATACGGTGTCAAACCAATATTAATAATTGCAGTTGAATATGTTAATTTATTATTAACGTATAATATAACAGCGGAGCTTTACTAAAGAAGAAACTTTAAATAATAATATAACTGTACAATTACCTCGTCACAGCTCCGTAGTTTCCGTATATATTACGGCCGTTTCGGCATCAAAATGCCATCCTCAGATACATACATCCACCGGATTTGGCGTCGTCAAACTTGAAACACACACGTAACACGATAACAAACATTTAAAACATAAAAACGAAAGACAGGCCTGTCGCGCACATGATGAGTACGTGTACGGAAGCTGACTGCAAGTATCAATAGGGTTCACGATAAATGTTTGTTATCGTGTTACGTGTGTGTTCCAAGTTTGACGACGCCAAATCCGGTGGATGTATGTATCTGAGGATGGCATTTTGATGCCGAAACGGCCGTAATATATACGGAAACTACGGAGCTGTGACGAGGTAATTGTAAAATTATATTATAGTCATCAATTCAGCTCAGGGGCTAAACCATGTCTATTGATCTTTAAATAATGATCAAATGTTTAACTATATAAAGTTGAGGGTATAACCTTTTCGATCATGAGAATCCATTAAATTAACAAGGGGGTTTAAAAAAAAAAAATTAATGTTTCGTTAACAGTTTAAAGGAGAAAGGTAAATTATTACATTTATATATTCATACTAATTGTAACCTTTTATTATCGAAATAATATTCTTCAAAAGTCATGTGAAATATTAATTTTCTTATGTATACTATAAGTTTACTATAAGGTGTTAGATTAATGAAAAATACAATAA